TCATTGTAGCCCATGTGCATCCCACAGTCCAACATGACATTCTTGCCCGAAATGGAGACCAAAATGCAGCTGCGGCCCACATCCTGGCCAGCCCCTGCTCAAGAAGGGCAGGTGAGAGACAAGGCTCTGGCTCCTCCCTCTTTTCCAAGTTTCCTTCCCTCACTTTTGGAAGGGCTGACCTCCACAGAACTACTTATTACCTTTGGCTCTGCAGGCCCTAAGACTGTTGGGTGGACAGACACATGGGCTAGGAAACAGGTATCATCAAGTGCAGGTTAAGGGGAACGCACAATGGGAAGACAAAGCACTATGCTAGGGTCATATGCCCTTCCTTCACCATACTTTCCTGCACATCTCAAATCTGCAACGAACTGCTAGCAGAGCATTAAGCACTGGCTGTGGTCCCCAACACTGAACAGGTACAAGCCACTACTCTGTGGAATATTACTGCTGTTTCCCCAGACCTTAGTCCAATTACTCCTGACCTTCAATGGGGCTGCAAATCAATAATGCTTTCTTCCCTTGGATTTCTTCCTGAAGAGGCTGAGGCCTGGACCCTGAGTTTTAGTGTTGAGTGATGCCATATCATGTGGTCTCCGCCGAGCTATAAAGAATCATGACTCTGACCAATAACTGGCTGTAGCACAGATGGCCCACTTTAGTCAGTGGGCAGCACAGGCCCCATATCACCAAACCCCTACCTCAGTCTCAATGAGAGTTCCTCCCTGGTCTTGATGACTAAGTAACCCTCCCAGCTGTTCAGCCCACGATACTGGCCACACTGGACACACCTGTTCTCTCCCTGGAATCTGGGTTCATAAGGATCTGAGAACAACAAACAGCCTTGTTCCCATCTTGGATCCTGTAGTTTCCATCTGCCAACTTCAGGTACCAAGCACTATCAGTATCAGTACCCAACGTCATCCATGGCCCAGTCTGCTTTCCTTATGTAGCCAGCCACAATGAGGCTGGGGAGGAGTTGGCCTCAGGTTCTCCTCCAGGCCTATTCCTACCTCCCCAAGATGGGTGATCCCTGAGGGAAAGGTCTCAGTGTCACTCCACACAGTACCTCTACCCCTGAAGTTGTGCTAGGCCCTGAGGCCCTTGAAACATTTATAGAAGGGAAATGGCCGCACCTTTACAGGGGAGGACCTGACATCCAGGCATCCACAATCACACACTATCAAGAATGGTGCTAAGAGACTTACAATTCCAGGAAAGAATAGAAGCCTACAGTGCAGAGACATTAGACATGGGAGGAGACAAAACTGAGAAGAAAGCACGGGATACTACCTTATCCATACATCTCTGCACAGTGCCGATTTACACCCTAGGGGAATGAGGCAATGAGACACTGAGTTCATCAGGTAGAGATTAAACAACTGTGCAAAAAAATTTCAGAACTGTGGCAGAAAACAAAACAAAATTTCCCCAGTGGGAGTAGGAGTCAGGGAGCTGGGTCTAAGAATGTGCTTGATGTTGTTTGATCCTGTAGTCTAATTAATACTTGGATGGGATGAGGGTAGTCAGTATGAGAGGTTGGTTCTGCTAAGGTCCTGTAATGCAGTGAGTTGAGAAGACTCAATTCTAACTAAGATGACCTAGGCATCTGAATCATATGAATGAGAAGGTGCTTCCGGCACCTCGGCAACACATGCATGAAGAAAAAAACCAGGGACATTCAGGGAGGTTCTGGAACCCCAGATTTCTCTTTTTGATGTTTTTCGACACAGGGTTTCTCTGTGCAGTTTTGGTGCCTGTCCTGGATCTCGCTCTGTAGACCAGGCTGGCCTTGACCTCACAGAGATCCACCAGGCTCTGCCTCCCGAGTGAGGGGATTAAAGGTGTGTGCCACCACCGCCTGGCGAACCCCAGATTTCAAATGGTTGTTTCCTCCTATATACCATACTATGCTGTTAGAACTTTTAGAACTCTAGATTCTACGATGAACAGATATACTTTTTAAAATTCGGGACAGACCAGACACAAAAACTGAACTGAGGGGTGATAACAAGCAACCTGGGCAAGATAAAGAGGTAGAAGAGGTGGAAAGAAAACCAAAAGTGAGGAAGAGGCCCAAGTAGAAGGGTCTTGAAGTAACAATCCACGTGCAGGACAGAGAAGTCGCCAGAACGAGTTCTGTGGCTGAATTCAACACCACTGACAGGCTACAAACAGTGGTAACGCCTGCCCAAGACCCATTTAACCTCACAGCCACTTAAGAGCTTCAGGGTCTCATTCTCGTCTCGCTGTTAGGCAGCCTAGGTACAGAAGCTGGGCCTCCATAACTCATATCGAGCCCTAGGACCAGGAATCAACCCCCATGCCAGGCAGAGATGAGGAAGCACCAGCTCCGAAACGTTCTACCATGGCTTCCGCTCCTTGGGGCGCACGCTGATGGAGGGCTGAACGCCGGCTGTATTGCTAGACTGCTGTGAAGGGACTGGCCCGACTAGTCGGACGCCGCAGAAGATGCTTCAGACTCGGACTCACCCAAGGGAGTGACTCTTATTTCAGGCATCTTCTGGGGGGCAGTCTCGAACTGCGTTTCCACAGCCTGCGTGCACCGCCCGCAGGAAGGGCTCAGACCTCGCGCACGCAGTTTAGGCCCTACGCCCAGCCACCGCGACTCCCACACACTGCGCAGGCGCAACAGCCAAGAGTCCTGCTTCCTGTACTCGCGCCGGAAACGCGGGTCGATACGTCGAGTTCTAATTGGGTAATCAGCAACCAATTGGGATGGCGTGGCTGCGAAGGGCGGGGCAGGGGCTGACCCTTGGGCTGCAATTTAAGACTTCTGCCCAACCGCAAGCTGGAGCAGTCTCTGAACAGGCTCCAGGCCTGAGAGCAGCATGGGGGCGCCTACCTGACGTGATCCAGGCCGCGAAGATGCGTAGACAGCTGGAACGGACAGGCAAAGATTCGGCTCCCACAGCAGCCTAATTGTAGCTTTGGTCACTGGCCTCTGCCGCACCCTTTGCCCTCCCTGGAGTGGAGACCAGCCAGTCACTTGCCACAGGAATCCGTCCCAGGTGAGATTCGCGGACCTCCCTGAACTCAAGCCCTGGCTCCCTGCTACGCCTAGATGTATATGCTGTGTGCTAGCTTGTGGGCCTTCTGCTGGCTGTCCACCCTGTCTAGCTTGATCTTCTGTAGGAGGCTTAAATGTGCCCTGAATCACCTTCCGGGAGCTGATAAGTCGCCCTCCCTTCCTGTTCTTTCCAGTTTACCACGGACAGCTCTAAGAGGCTACTTGGCTTCTGACTTAGGCTCTGGGCAGGAAGGCCTGGCTACAGGATTGTTAGGTGGCCAAAAAATGAACTGTAGGGGGCCCCAGAGGCTATCTGCTCAGTGAACAGTACATGGGCCCTAAGAGAGGGGTGTGTGTGTGAAGATTCTGGCCGTCACCATCTTTCTGAGGCTGTCCCTGACGCGTGAACACAAGGTGAGCCCATCTCCAGGGTCAGGGTCTGGAACTTGTGACAGGCACCCAGTCCAACCCATGGGGCCATATCACCACTCTTGACAGCCACAGTCAAGGGCGGGAGACATGCAGACTACATTCCTAGAGCTGAAGGACTGAGTCATAGAACCGTGTGAAGGCAAAAAAAGAACTTGCACACAGATCCAGGTACCCTGGATGAGGATGGGTTGTTTTGGGCCCTGATGGTACAGCGGTTAGGTACAGCTTAGGGCAGAGATCCAGCACTAAGGGACACAGGAACCTCCAGAACTGGTGGTGAGTGTTCATGCTGGACATAGGTGAGATGCAGCCACATCCCACAGGGTTGGCCCTGGACACCAAGGCACTTAGAGTACCAGGGAAGGTGGGAGCTGGAAGCCTGGAGATATCTATTCAAGATGTGAGCACAAAAGGAGCATGGGGCACAAGCTTGTAGTTCTAGCTACTCAGGAAGCCAGAAGATTGAAAGTTAAAGGCCTAGTCAGGTGTGGTAACACACACCTTTAGTCCCAGCACTCGGGAGGCAGAGGCAGGCGGATCTCTGTGAGTTCAAGGCCAGCCTGGGCTACAGAGTGTGAGTTCCAGAATAGGCTCCAAAGCTACACAGAGAAACCCTGTCTCAAAACAAACAAACAAACAATTAAAAAAAAGAAACTTAAAGGCCTGCCTAGACTATTCCCTGCCCAGCATACAAGAGGCTCTTGAGCTCAGTCCCCACAACTAAAGATAAATAAATAAATATGGGAACTAGAATGTTTGTGGAGTGACTGTAAAAAGGCCTACAGAATCCAGAGCCCCACCTTACCTTAAGGCCTCTATCCTAGATCACTTACAGAATGTTCTCTGGAGTCAGTGGGAGGACTTAGCAATCCTTCCTGTGTGGTAAGAACTTTGGCCCAGCTACCCTGTTGTTTGGGAATGCATACCATTTCAACAACAGGAGTGTCCATCTGTCTGTCTAGCAGATGCCAGCCCACAGCCTCTGCTTTAATTTGCCCTGATCAAGGAAGGGAAAGCCTGCCTAGCCACCCTTTCCACTCCCCCATGTGAGAATCACTTGCTTTTTTATAGAGTCCTGATTTTTGTTTTGGCACAACTTCCCATCAGAATGCTGCCCTGATACAGTGGGGTCCAGGTGTGGTCAAGGTCCAGGACTATGCCTGCCTTTTAGAAACTGTGCCTTCCCCTATTGTGTGAAACAGATGCTCTAGGAAGAAAAGAAACAGAAAAGCAAGAAGCAGTAGCAGCTGCAAACAGTGCAGGAACTGACCAGATTACTAGCCTGAAGGGCAAGGAGCAGCCATGTCAAGATCTGTGGGTACAGGATCCATCAAGGGCACAGCAAGGTCAAATTGGCTTGTGGGAGAGCTTGCAGCTCCTGAGGAAGGCACTCAGGTAAAGGGATGATTCTTGGCAGGCAGTTTCAGCACCCCACTTTTTCTTTCAAATCTTCTTCCCAATCCCTTCTTGAGAAAATGAACCACAGAGTGAGCTAATCCAGCATGATGACTACAAGTTCTGTGTAAAACTATTTCAGCCCATGTTGGAAGATGGATGGCCCAGAGACAGAATTCAACCTTAAAGTCGTCTTGGTCAGCTTCAAGCAGTGTCTCACTGAGGAGGGAGAGGTGCTGCTGGACCACTATATCGCCAGCTGGAAGGGACTAGTCAGGTGCGTTTATTGGGGCTGCTGAAGATAGTGGTTTTGCCAGTAAGAGTCCACATGGGACACTGGCATCCCACATGGCACAGGGGGCATGGGAGCACCTAGCAGACAGTTTCCACTCAGCCTTCCTGCCCTTGCCTCCAGACAAACAAGTGCTCTAGCAGTTTGAAGGTAATGTCTCCTGCACTACAGGATGGCTTCCAGTCTAGGTAGGGCCTCAAATTTATACTTCCTCGCACAGGTTTCTGAACAGCCTGGGTGCCGTCTTCTCATTCATTTCCAAGGATGTGGTCTCAAAGCTGCAGATAATGGAACATCTGAGGAACAGCCCACAGTATGAACACTACACTAGCTTGCAGTCCATGGTAGCCTATGAGGTGGGCAACAAGCTGGTGGACATAGATAGACGCTCCCGTTCCCGATACCCTAACTCAGGCTGCCGGACTGTGCTGCGCCTACATCGTGCTCTGCACTGGCTACGGCTGTTCCTGGAAGGCCTGCACACCAGCCCTGAGGATGCTCGTACCTCCACACTCTGCAGTGATGCCTATAATGCCACACTGGCTGCCTATCACTCCTGGATCATACGTCAAGCTGTCACTGTGGCTTTCTGTGCCCTGCCCACACGCAAGGTCTTCCTCGAGGCCATGAATGTGGGGTCCTCTGAGCAAGCAGTGGAGATGCTGGGAGAGGCCCTACCCTTCATTGAGCATGTGTATGACATCTCCCAGAAGCTCTATGCTGAGCATTCCCTGCTAGACCTACCTTAGTGGTGGTGCCCATACTGTGTGGGCTTCTCCTGCTCAGAACTGGGCTTGAGCAACCTGGGACTACTCCCACAGCAGTGCTTTCTGGATGCTACTGTCATCCCTGAAAGCTGAACTTGCTGAGAACCACAGGCTGTGAACCAAGTGAGGTGGATGCTAGTCATGCTCTTGGTCCAGGATGAGACACTTGAACTCCAATTTTGCCCTCTACTTTAGTTATGTGTGTGTTCAGTCAGGCCTTATTGAAATCCAGATGGCAAACAGAGAAGATGGGGGAGGAGGGTTATGTTCTACCTCCGATGTGTGTAATCTGAAATGGTATAAGGGCACAGGACCCTGGAGTTGAGGTTCTGTCTCCCCCACAGTCAACATGCCCAGCCAATGTGTATCCTTCCTGTGCCCATCTTGAGCCTGAGACATGGCACCAGTGCCAGGCAAATAGCCCTGGGTCTCATATTCCAAAAGCTGTCCTTGGGTAAGATGGAGTTCCTTTGGCAGTGACATGAGCACTGAAGACTTTTCCCTGCCCTTCACCTGCCTCCTTGTTAGCCTCTCTGTATATCAAACAGGCCTTTGTCTCCTTGGAAATGGAAACCATCTGAAACTGCTAGCTGAGACTTCCTTAGGAAAACCTGCTCTGGTCAGTGCAGCCTGCCTCATAGCTTCTGCAATATAGTAGCATCAGCCTTCAGAAGGTGACCTCCTGCAGTGGTGCTCTTGCAGTACATGCACCCCCAAGATTCTAAGATGTCAATACTAATTGGCCAAACCATTGTTTGGCCTCTCTCTAGCCAGCCTTGCTGCTCCTGTTACCATGGTACTCAGGTGACATAGAACAGGACTTGTGGAAAAGGGCTGGGCCCCCTTGTCTAGCTGACAGGTGACCATACCCAGCATGGTTGACACCCAGTGCGTAAGACCCTAACCTCTCCCACTGGGTCTTAATGTTAAACCCCAGACAGTGTCCCCAGTGTAAGTGATGTGTATAAATGCAAACTTTGGGACATATCTCTTTCCTCAAGAACTATGATATATGTTGTATTTCCAACATAAATAAATTACACCTACATGATTGGGTATGGCAGTCTAGGAGATGGGTCACAGGTGTGTCAGGTGCCTGATGATGTGGAGGAAAAACATAAAAGTACCAACCCATATGGGTGGGGAGGAAGTTAATCCTAGGGACAAGACTGAAGCATGTGTCCCCAGTCCTGAGGGCTCAAAGGGCAATATGAACCATGAAAGCATGAAACATGCCTAGCCAGCAGCCAGAACTGAAGGAGTTGCCATGCATTTGTCCCTAATGTATCTTAATTTGATCACACACATATACTGAGATCTGCATTATCTCCATTTTACAGGTAAGAAAAGAAACACCTGGGCCACCTACCTTGAGGGGCTAGGTTGGAAAAAGGTCTGAAGATACTCAGACACTGTGTGACAAAACTGGGGGAAAACTAGAGCTACTTTCTACATGACATCAACCTAGACAGAGGGTACACAATGAGTGGTGTCTTCCTGGTACTCCACCATACCCAACTGATCTGCTTAGGCTGTATTTATCCAGCCATGTCTATACCAGCTAAGACCCAAGGCCACATAGTGCTAGCCAAGGCTGATGACTTCAAGAGACTGGCCAGAAAATAAGGATGTAATAGCAGATATATGTGCCACATACAGATTCATGGTGTAAAAGTGTTAATAAGCATGTGCACGGGCTTTGTAGACATCCTCACAGGGCAGCAGGGAAATGCAAAGATCATTTCCATAACATCTGCTGGATGTCATATGACATTGAGATTACCCAGGCTCCTATTCCAACAAGAGTTAACAGCCTCCCTCATGTTTGAGTGCCAGAAACCTGCTGTGTTAGCAATAGCTCCCTCACATCCAGACTAAGCGGGAATGTCTTAGGTAGGGTTACTATTGCTGTGATGAGACACTATGACCAAAGCAACTTGGGAAGTAAAGGGTTTATTTGGCTTACACTTCTACATCACTGTTCATCATTAAAGGAAGTCAGGACAGAAACTCAAACAAGGTAGGAACCTGGAGGCAGAAGCTGATGCAAAGGCCATGAAGGAGTGCTGCTTACTGGCTTGCTCAGCCTGCTTTCTTACAGGATCCAGGAAGGACCACCAGCCCAAGGATGGTAGGTACATCCTACAATGAGCTGGGCCTCCCCAATCAATCACTAAGAAAATGCCCGCTGGCCAGATAATATGGAGGCATTTTCTCAAGCTTGTGCCAAGTTGACATAAACTAGCCAGAACAAGGGAAGAGGTAAGAAGGAACTGTTGACTGCACACAGGCACACACCTGGCCCTAGCAGCTGCAGGAACCTATTTGTTTATGGCCTCTTCTCATTTTCATGGACCAGCTGTGAGCATTCTGCTGAAGGAGGTACCTGCTTTCCTGCCAAAGCCAGAGTGTTTACACCAAGGATCAGCAGAATGGGCAAGGGTCTCCACAGCTTCCAGAACCCCAGCAGAAAAGCTAGGAGACCCTCAATGAGTGTGCTCCAGGATCCAGGCAGGTTGGGACACCCAGGAACTCAGCCCCAGATCTCCCTACCTCATCTGAAGGTTAGAGCCTTGGCTAGCCAGCTGTCTACTATCACTGTTGAGGGACCACCTCTGCAGCCCCTGCTTATTGACAGTACTGCCTCAAATCAGAAGCCAGAAGATAAAAGGTGTCTCTGTGCTTACAAGTATAGCCCTGGTGTCCCCCTATTCCACACTCAAGGGAAACCCTGGGACCCTGAATGTTTCTCCATCTTCTTTACAATCTGCCAGGCTGCTCTAGAAATGAAGGGTGCTAAGGGGCTTGGACATAGGCAGGTGACAACACCACAGTCAGTGGTCACAGTTGGCTTGCTGGGTCTCTCTTGGAAAGAGAGCATATTAATGGTATAAAGATGAGTTCAGTATACACAAACCATCAGGTCTGAGTTATTGAGCATATCACCGGAGCCCCATGGGGCTTGGCAGCCAAGCACAGCAGTTTTGCTAAACAAATTCTCTGCTCCCTCCCCCTGGACTCACCAGTATATCTGGGGCTCCAGCCCAGCACATCCACCTACTCTCTGCTGGAAGCTTATACCTACCATGCCAAGCCTGACTGTTCTGAGCCTCAGCCTTGCTGCTCTCCTGCGCCTTGGGATGGGAGCCTCCTTGTGCCTGTCACAGCAATTCAAGGCACAAGGAGACTACATACTGGGTGGGCTATTTCCCCTGGGCTCAACTGAGCAGGACACTCTCTACCAGAGAACACGACCCAATGGCATTCTGTGCACCAGGTATGGAGGCTAGTAGCTGGAGTGGGGGTGGGATTGAAGCTTGGCAGCCTTGGGTCTGCAGTACTCCCAAGCTGAGGATGAGGTGGTCACCACCTGCAATTCCATATGGCCTCAGGTTCTCACCCCTTGGTCTGTTCCTGGTCATGGCTATGAAGATGGCTGTGGAGGAGATCAACAATGGATCTGCCTTGCTCCCTGGGCTGCGCCTGGGCTATGACTTATTTGACACATGCTCAGAGCCGGTGGTCACCATGAAGCCCAGTCTCATGTTCCTGGCAAAGGTGGGCAGTCAAAGCATTGCTGCCTACTGCAACTATACACAGTACCAGCCCCGTGTGCTGGCTGTCATTGGGCCCCACTCATCAGAGCTTGCCCTAATTACAGGCAAGTTCTTCAGCTTCTTCCTCATGCCACAGGTGAGCCCACCTCCTTTGTGTTCCCTCAACCAATTGTGCCCATTGAGCTCTCATATCAGGAGGTGCTTCTTGATCACCACAGGTCAGCTATAGCGCCAGCATGGATCGGCTAAGTGACCGGGAAACATTTCCATCCTTCTTCCGCACAGTGCCCAGTGACCGGGTGCAGCTGGAGGCTGTTGTGGCTCTGTTGCAGAATTTCAGCTGGAACTGGGTAGCTGCCCTAGGTAGTGATGATGACTATGGCCGGGAAGGTCTGAGCATCTTTTCTGGCCTGGCCAATGCACGAGGTATCTGCATTGCACATGAGGGCCTGGTGCCACTGCATGGCACCAGTAGCCAACAGCTTGGCAAGGTGGTGGACGTGTTACACCAAGTGAACCAAAGCAAAGTGCAAGTGGTGGTGTTGTTTGCCTCCTCCCGTGCTGTCTACTCCCTTTTTAACTATAGCATCCATCATGGCCTCTCACCCAAGGTATGGGTGGCTAGTGAATCCTGGCTGACCTCTGACCTGGTCATGACACTACCCAATGTTGCCCGTGTAGGCACTGTGCTTGGGTTTCTGCAGCGAGGTGCCCTGCTGCCTGAATTCTCCCATTATGTGGAGACCCGCCTTGCCCTGGCTGCTGACCCAACATTCTGTGCCTCACTGAATGCTGAGTTGGACCTGGAAGAGCAAGTAATGGGGCAACGCTGTCCACAGTGTGACAACATCATGCTGCAGAATCTGTCATCTGGACTGATGCAGAACCTATCAGCTGGGCAGTTGCACCACCAGATTTTTGCAACCTATGCAGCTGTGTACAGTGTGGCCCAGGCTCTTCACAACACCCTACAGTGCAATGTCTCAAGTTGCCCCAGAGCAGAGCCTGTTCAACCCTGGCAGGTAAGGGTAGGGTTTTTGCTGGGTGTATGCCTGCTCATTTAGGAATACTGAACTACCAGGCAGAGCTAAATCTTGTCTTGACTGGAGAGGATCATGGGTCAGCCTTACCCCGACTCCACCCCACAGCTCCTGGAGAACATGTACAACATGAGTTTCCATGCTCGAGACTTGACACTGCAGTTTGATGCTAAAGGGAATGTAGATATGGAGTATGACCTGAAGATGTGGGTGTGGCAGAGCTCTACACCTGCATTACATACTGTGGGCACTTTCAACGGCACTCTTCAGCTGCAGCACTCCAAGATGTACTGGCCAGGGAACCAGGTAAGGACAAGATAGACAAAAGCCATGGTAGGTACAGGCTTGGGATTGCCTGTGGGTCTTGGGCCAGTTCTAGCCAAGGGGAGCCTAACCTAAGGCTTCATGTCCAGGTGCCAGTGTCCCAGTGCTCCAGGCAGTGCAAAGATGGCCAGGTGCGCAGAGTAAAGGGCTTCCATTCCTGCTGCTATGACTGTGTGGACTGCAAGGCAGGCAGCTACCGGAAGCATCCAGGTGAACCACCTTCCCTAGACAGTCTGCAGAGCTGGGTTGGGGGCAGAAGCATACAAGCCTGGCAAGTGCCCCTCTCCCAAGGCTAATGCTGAGGCAAGAGCCTGGGGAGGGGAGCTGGGCTGGGAAATTCTGTCTTCCATCACCAGCACCCCACACACACACATTGCTTTTTCTTTCTTTTACTACAGATGATTTCACCTGTACTCTATGTAACCATGACCAGTGGTCCCCAGAGAAAAGCACGAGCTGCTTGCCTCGCAGGCCTAAGTTCCTGGCCTGGGGAGAGCCAGTTGTGCTCTCACTACTCCTGCTGCTTTGCCTGGTGCTAGGCCTAGCACTGGCCTCCCTGGGGCTCTTTGTCCATCACTGGGACAGCCCTCTTGTTCAGGCCTCAGGGGGGTCACTGTTCTGCTTTGGCCTGGTCTGCCTAAGCCTCTTCTGCCTCAGTGTCCTTCTGTTCCCAGGACGGCCAAGCTCTGCCAGCTGCCTTGCTCAACAGCCATTGGCTCACCTTCCTCTCACAGGCTGCCTGAGCACATTCTTCCTGCAAGCAGCTGAAATCTTCGTGGAGTCTGAGTTGCCACTGAGCTGGGCAAACTGGCTATGTAGCTGCCTTCGGGGATCCTGGGCTTGGCTGGTGGTCCTGCTGGCCATTCTTGTGGAGGTAGCACTATGCGCCTGGTACTTGACAGCTTTCCCACCTGAGGTGGTAACAGACTGGTGGGTGCTGCCCACAGAAGTACTGGAGCACTGCCGCATGCGTTCCTGGGTCAGCCTAGGCTTGGTACACATCACCAATGCAATGCTGGCCTTCCTCTGCTTCCTGGGCACTTTCCTAGTACAGAGCCAGCCTGGTCGCTACAACCGTGCCCGTGGTCTCACCTTCGCCATGCTAGCTTATTTCATCACCTGGGTCTCTT